GTAGGGCTGGGGATGGGCCTCAGTGGCCTAATGCCCCTGGGTTCATTCCCTGGTATCCCTGCCCCCTGTCTCCCCCCCAAAATTCTTTCCCTGTTCTTCACACAACTAAGACACCTTTGGGTATCACTAAGATGCAGATCACTAATCATCTAGACTACTGCTTTTGCCACCACAGTCAGAATTCTGTGGCTGTCCTGCATTTTAAGCTTCTGCTTACCAGCCTTGCCACTGCTATTCTCTTTATTTATTTATTTATTTTAGTTGTTGATAGACCTTTATTTTATTTTATTTTATATATGGTGCTGAGAATTGAACCCAGGGCCTCACACATGCTAGGTGAGAGCTTGGAGCTTAGGGGTTGCTTTAGATTACAGTCAGTTAAAGCTAGGTACGGAGTATTTGGGGCTGCAAAATCTTCAGTGGGATTCTGGACTATCTAATCTAGTCAATCCCTTGTGCAAATAAAGTAGATAAAGATCCCCCCCCACCCCGCGCCCCTCTGGTACTGGGGATTGATTCCAGGGGTACTTTACCACTAAGTTACATCCCTAGGCCTTTTAGTATTTATTTTTCTCGAAATTGCACATGATGGCCTCGAACTTGGGATCCTCCTGCCTCAACCTCCTGAGCTGTTGAGATTACCGAAGATTACAGAAGTGCACCATCATACCCAGTTTTTTTTTTTTTTTTCCTTTTGGTGCTGGAGATTGAACTCAGGGCCTTATTCATGCCAGGCAATCACTCTAGCCACTAACCTCATGAAATTATTGGAACACTTGAAATGTGGCTATTAGAAATTGAATTATGCTGTCTTTTTATACAGCATGTAACTAGTGGGAAAATTTAATGTTATATATGTGGTACACCTTGTTTTTCTATTGGATGAGCAGAAGAATCCGTGCCTCATAGCTGTGGTCCTCAGTGAATCATCCTTCTTCCATTTACAGGTCTGTTCCTTGAGACAATTCGAGTTAATAACATCAGGGAGAGAATTTCACCCTTACTCTAATCTTTCCTGTCAGGTTTCCCTTCATTACTAAGTTCACCCCCTTCACCTAACAAAGAATGTTTAATAAGAGGTCCTGAGGTTCTTCAGAGATTTGAAGCCCCAATCTTTTCAATTTTATCAGCTGTTAAATCTCTCATATTCTTGCTTTTGTTTATCCTAACTTGACCTTGGAAGTAGAAGAACTTGACTTCCTCCAATCTGAGCCACTAAGCACTAACTTCTGTGCTCTGGCTGGAACTCCAAGGCAAAGGTGAATTCTCTTAGGATGGACTGGAACCTATAGAAGAGTATGATCCAGGGCTGGCATTGTAGCTCAGTAGTAAGGGTACTTGCCTGGAAGGTGTGAGACATTGGGTTCAATCTTCAGCACCGCATTAAAACAAATAAATAATTAAAATAGAAAGGTACTATGTCCATTTACAACTAAAAAAAAAAAAAGTTAAAAAAGGAGCATGATCCAAGCACTTCTGGAAACTATCATGTGGATCTTAAAAGGAATTAAACACACATAATGGAAGAAAGATGGGAAGAAAACACATTCTGGGGGCTGGGGTTGTGGCTCAGTGGTAGATCACTCGCCTAGCACGTTTGTGGCCCTGGGTTCGATCCTCAGCACCAAATAAAAATAAAGAAAGAAAGAAAGAAAGATATTGTGTCCAAATACAAGTAAAAAAATAAATATTAAAAAAAAATACATTCTGATGTCATCTGAGCCTGAATCAAATTAAGACTGATGCCAGAACTTCTCTAAACCTTAAAATGCAATGAACCAATAAATACTTAATGCGGGGGAGAGGGGAGGGGGGAGAGGACTTCTCCAAACCAACAAAGCTACAGCTGTCAACCTAGGTTTTAGCCTGAAAAGCTTTCCCCTTGTCATCAGTTGGGACATCTCCAGACTGTTTACTTTTTGTATGAATTTAATGAAAACCTCATTAAGTAGTCAATTCAGGCCCCAAATCCTGAATTTTCAGTCTACATGTGACCTGCATGCTAACAATTTATAAGACACTTTGCAACTTTTTGTTCACTTGTGATATTCCATTTTTGGTAACAAATTCAGTATCAGATGGGAGGTTTTAGTCAGTAAGCAGGAGACTGTTCAAATAAAAGAGGTTTTGTTTTTTTTTTTAAAGAGAGAGAGAGAGAACTATTTATTATTTATTTTTTGGCGGACACAACATCTTTGTTATGTGGTGCTGAGGATCGAACCCGGGCCGCACGCATGCCAGGTGAGCGCGCTACCGCTTGAGCCACATCCCCAGCCCCAAATAAAAGAGGTTTAAACTTGTTTTCTTATATAAGAAGAAGTCCAATGTAGGTGGTTTTAGGATTCATTATTTTGGCAGACCAATTCTGTGAAGTTCTTCGTGATGTTTCTGTGGTTTGGTTTCCCCCTTATTACTGGTACATTTAACTGAACAATATCCAAAGACAGAAGGGAAGGGAAAGGAAGTTTTTCCTGTGCATTTCCCACCAGGGAAGAAAATTCTCCCCAAATGCTCCCATCTGTAGTTCTCTCATACACCTGCCAAGGAGGGTGGGAAAGTGAATATTTTGCTATGTTTAGCCTCAGTAGGGGTTGGTATGGTTTACTGACAAGGAAAAAGGGGAGAGCAGGGCTGCTGGGATGGTAAACAAGAATATTTGCTGAGCCCTGCTGGTAATCTATTGCTGTGTAACAAACCACTCCAAGCTTAGTGGTATAAAAGGAAGACCATTTTATTATGTTCACAAGAATTTGGACAGGGCACAACAAGGATGGTCTGTCTCTGTTCCACATAGTCTAGACTCAACTGGGAAGACAAATGTCCAGACCTGGAACCACCTGGAAGTTTCTTCACCCTGGGCTAGGATGAACTAGAAATCTGGGCTTAGCTGGGGCTGTTGGGCAGAGCACCTCACATGGTATTCATATGGCTTAGGCTTCTCCCAGCAAGGTTGCTGGGATGGGATGGGAAGTGGGAGAGGAAGAGAAAGAGGTGGGGGTTGGAGTGGGGAAGATCAATCTGGGAGAGGTTTCTTGAAGAGTGAGCATTTCCAGAGAACCAGTGGAAGCTGCACAGTCTTCTAGGACCTAATCTTGTAAGTCACAGAGTATCATTTCTACCATATTCTATTGGTCAAACCTTCATGTGATTATCCAGATTCAGGGGAAAAGACATGGACTTCACTCTTTCAAGGAAGGAATGTCAATGGGTTAATTGCTTTTTAAAAAACACTCAACAGTTCTAATGTAAATCACAGGACATATACACATTGCCCCACAGATTCTACTTACATTGTTTTAAGTTAAAAGACTTCATATGGTGGCTCAGGCCTGTAATTCCAGCAGTATGGGAGGCTGAGGCAGGAAGGAGGCTCAAGAATTCAAAGCCAGCCTCAGCAACTTAGAGAGGCCCTAAGTAACTCAGTGACACACACACACACACACACACATATGGCTTGGGGATGTGGGTCAGTGGTTAAGCCCCGGCTAGGTTCAACCCCCTTCAAGGTCCACCCCTCAATCAGCCATGATGTCATATTCCCCTTCTTTTAAGCAGAAATCCTTGAGTTTTTTTTTTTTTCCTTTTAGTTTTTGTTGCAGCCCATAAATAATATAAATACCATCTAGAACTTCTAGTGAATACATGTTGGGGCCTGGTGTCTGAAAGGACCAATTCTGAATCAACAAGAAAAGGAAGTGGAAACACAAATTCCCTCAAATTGTGGGAGAAAAAAATAGGTCAATAAAACAATCATATCCATGACAAATTTTTCAATATTATAAACAAAATACTATAAATGGCAATTAAAGCATCTGTCCCTTTGCAGGTGAATGGATGGCACTAGAGAAAATAATGTTAAGTGAAGTTAGCCAATCCCCAAAAAATAAATGCTGAATTGTTTCTCTGATATAAGGTGACTGGCCCATAGTAGGGTAGAGAGGGGGGCATGGAAAAAATAGACAAACTCTAGATAGGACAGAGGGGTGGTAGGGGAAGGGAGGGGGAAGGAGGTTAGCAATGATGGTGGAATGTGATGGACATTACCCAAAGTACATGTATGAAGACATGTTAATTGGTGTGAACATACTTTATATACAAACAGATATATGAAAAATTGTGCTCTATATGTGTAATAAGAATTGTAATGCATTCCAGTCATGTATTTAAAAAATACAATCAATTTTAAAAAAAGCACCTGTCCCAGTGGTTCCGGGTAAAAATGCACCAATGTTAATACTCTTCCATTAAATTATTATTATTATTTGAACTGTGATTGAACCTAGGGGCTTTTAACCACTGAGTCACATCTCCAGTCCTTTTAAATATTTTATTTAAAGACAGGGTTTCGCTGAGTTGCTTAAGGTCTTGCTAAGTTGCTGAGGCTGGTCTTGAATTTGCGATCCTCCTATCTCAGCCTCCAGAGCCGCTTGGATTACAGGCGTGAGCCAAAGCGCCCGCCTTACGTTAATATTTTTGGAACACCTACTAGGTCATGTACTGAGGGGGATAAAATGGTAAAGAAAAGGCTAAAGTATCTTGTAAATCGTTAGAAATCTAGGCCAGAGGAAGCGGGTTTCCTCTCGAGTGTTTTAAAAGCCCAAATCCATACAGAGACAAAAACACTCCTAGCAGAATCAGGGAAGTTACAGTGAAGGATGTGGAGCAGGTCTTTATAAATGGATAGGTGTTCAGTAGAGGAAATGAAGGACAGGAAAGGACAAAGGTATACTTAAAGTGAGGAGGACTGCAGAAAGTAACATCCGGACTCCAGAAAGCTTGCTCTCGAATTCAGAAAAGATAAATGCGGAGATTCTACGCGGCTGTAAAGCCGACATCCCGAACGTGAGCCCATTTTGGGTAGAATTCCGGAGGGGGACCTAGGAGACCGCTCCAGCAACTCCCTGTAGAGGGCGCCGTAAGCCTACGCGTCTTGGACTCCACAGCGCCTCGGAGGCAGTACGTCCTCCAGCCCGGGGGGCGGGGCCGCGCGCTCACGTGACCCTCGCTCATGGCGGCGGCGGCGGTGGCGGTGCTGGTGGCTCTCAGCGGCCGGAGCCGGATTCTGTAACCCGGGTGTGGGCCCGCGTCAGTCCGTCCCTCCTTCGGCCCCCTCTCTCGTCTTCCGGAGTGTGGTTGGCGGAGCCGGGATGGCGGAGCGAGGCCGGGAGCCCTCGCCGGCGGCAGTGGCTGCGCTGCCTCCCGAAGTGCGGGCGCAGCTGGCGGAACTGGAGCTGGAGCTCTCAGAGGGTAGGATCCTGGAGAGGAGCGGGCGCCGGGCCTGCGGGTTCGGTGGGGGTCCGGAGGCAGGTCACCATCGCGCGCCCTGGCAGCGGCGTGGCGAGGGGCGAGGGCGCGGGGAATCTGGCCAAGCTCCATACCGTACTCCTTCCTTTCTACACTGCGAAGTGTTTCCCGTGGCTTTCATTGTTTTCCCTTGGAGGGGGCCAAGCGGGGCTTGGGGGAGAGGTCCGCCTGGGCCGGTGCCGTTTCTGCGTTCTCTGCCCCCCCCAACCCTACACAAAGCTCCAGTCTGTGCCCGGGTTTCTGGGCTGGTGTATGTGTGGGGGGGACGGGTGGTTGCGAGGAGGGTGGCTGACACCTTTCTCCTTTCTGCCTTCTTCCTGGAGGGCCCCACGCCTTGATCCATTCCTCCTTCCCCAGAGAGAAAGAGACAGACCGACAGAGACGTGGGAAAGCCGCAGCAGCATTTCTTCTTTCTCAAAAAATGCGAGGTGCTTCCCCAGTGACTCAAGTGAGATAGGAGCGAGAGAGACATTGAAGGTCCTAGGGAGGTTGGAAGCAGTGGTACTAACCCAGAGGGACCCACGGTGCTGCCTTTAGACACCTTTGTCATCAGGGCTTTTTCCTGGTGGCTGTCTTTTGGCTGAATTTTCCGTATTTGATTACCTTTTTAGAATCTTCGAAGAGGGAGAAAGAGGTGGCTACCGATTAAATGGAAATCCTGGCTCGCGACCTTTCTTTTGACAATGGATTGGTACAAGGAGGGTTGGATTTATTTTGAAAATTTAAAGAAATGGGATCAATCAAGCCACTGTTACTAGAAAAGTCCCTTGAAAACAATGAGAGAAACAGTGCTCTGTTGTGGGCATGTGATCAGGCTTATGTGCAGTTGTGATCAGTTCTCTGTAAAGTTCCTGTTTTTATCACAGGCCGCCTCTCAGACAAAAGCAGCATTTTCTCCAAGCTTGGTATCAGTACTTTGGTGGTGTCTCCAGAGTTGCAAATTCTTGAGTTCCTTGCCAAAGGCCCTCTTCACTAGCATTTTTCAAGTGAATTAAAAACTGTTGATTGGAAAAGAAGAACGTGACAGATTCCCAGGAGAGTTGTGACTTTTCATACATTTATCAAGGCATAAACCCCTTCCCCCTTTCAGAATACTTTAGAATGAAAAAACAGAAGTAGATTTGAGTGTTATAAATCTGTGCAGACATTGAAGTTAATTATTTTTAATAACCTTTCTAGGCTTTTCCAGTGTATAGGGAGGGAGATGTGGTTTTCTACACTTAATTACCAACTACATATGATTATCAACTTTCTTTGGGGAGGGGTAGTGGGAATTTAATCCTGGAGTGCTTGGAGCCACATCCCCAGCCCTTTTTATTTTTATTTTTGAAACGGGGTCTCCTGAATTGCCTAGGGCCTTTCTAAGTTGCTGAGGCTGGCTTTGAACTTAGATCCTCCTGTTTTAGCCTTCAGTTGCTGAGATTACAGCCGTGCACCACTATGCTTGGCTTCCAACATAAAGATGTAGTGTCCACCGAAAACTAAAAAAATAAATATTAAAAAATTCTCTCTCTCTAAAAAAAAAAAAAAAAGAAATATTCATCAGGTGGACCAGTTGTGGTAGATTTGAATGACTTAGCCTTAATTTGTGAAAATGTAAATTTTTCTAAGTTTTTTTTTTTTTTCTCCTCTGAAATTGAGGGGCTTTTGCATTATCATCAATTCTTCCTTTTAAGATACTTTTATATTTGTTGGAACTGGGGATTGAACCCAGGGGCACTTAACCACTGAGTCATATCCCCAACCCTTTTTTATATTATTTAGAGACAGGGTCTCACTAAATTGCTTAGTGTTTAATTGCTGAGGCTGGCTTTGAACTTGCAATTCTCTTGCCTCAGCCTCTGGAACTGCTGGGATTACAGGCCTGCACCATAGTGCCATCCCATTCAAATCTTTTAAAATAGTTACTTCATAGTAGTAAATCAGCTTGCTTTGATGAGGTAGAAAGAGAGAGGTTTCACTAGATATTTGCATCAGAGGGAGATTAAAAATAGGAGTTGATTGCTTTCACATGGAAAGGGAAATCCTGGGAGTTCCTTATTCTTGATGTGTATCTCTTCCAGCTGATTATTGTTTACATCTCTGGGTATTTCTAGACATCTCTAGAAGTATTCTGAGAAACCGTTTCTAGGACCCACAACTGATTAGCTCACCTTTCTCTCCTTCAGAAAGATGTGAAACTCTTACAAACTGTGAGAGCCAAGGCTTAAACATTTTTGAGGACAAGTGCATGGTTTGTTTTCCTATGTAGTATTATTTTGGTTGGCACATGACTTACCTTGTATTTTTTAAATTTTTTTTTTTTAGTTATTGATGGAACTTTAGTTTATCCATTTATTTATATGCGGTACTGAGAAGTGAACACTGCCAGTGCCTCACACATGCTAGTCAAGTGCTCTTATCACTGAGCCACAACCCCAGCCCTGTATTTGTTTTTTATGAATTTATATTGTATTATCCTGTATTTTTTTTTTTAACTGGATAAATTACATTTGAAAAACCTTGGTCTTGCAGTGTCAGCATATTGGTTATCTGTTTGCCTTTCTTGCTTCAAGACGGTTGACTTGTAGGTAGGTAGACATTAGGAATTCAAGTGAAGTTAAACAAAACAAAACAAAAAAACCCACCCCCACATCTGTGATGTTATTTGTGACATCTACAGCATATTTTGAACTAACCTTTATTTACATTTTCTCCACAATTACTGGTTTGATGAAAGTACTTTTTTTTTTTAAGATGATTGTAACTGTGTTTGTGGCATAGGTACATTCATTTCTCTATTTTATCCTTTTTTTTTTTTTTTTTAGGTTTGAAAGACTATAGTTGGTCCTAATCATAGGGATAGTCTGAGCCATATGCAGTTAAAGAATTTTCTTTGTGCTTACCTGTGCTTTCAACTGCAGCTTTGGTCATAGATCAGCCAACTCTGTCCTAAAAAGCAGGTTGGTGCCTCCTTTGGGCTTTTTGCCGCAGAGCGTGTTGCAGAACCTTGTGATATCTGTGCTTCAGGGAGATCAGCATGGAATTTGTGGTTAAAACCTGCTGGGGGGCGGGGAGATGAGGTGGTGGGTATTGTGGCTCAGTGGTAGAGCGCTAGAGCACTCGCCTTGCAAGTACTGGACCCTGGGTTCGATCCTCAGCACCACAAAAAAGTAAATAAGTGAAATAAAGGAATTGTGTTCAACTATAACTAAAAAATAAATATTAAAAACAAAACAAAACCCCTGCTTTTGCATTAAAAAGAACAGCTTGAAACTGGAGAATCATTTAGTAATTAAATTTATACATAATCACAAATTTTTTGATGGATGAGTTGAATAAATAGTAGGTTTTTACACGTATTCCTATGACTGAAAATTTTCATGATCTACATATATTATTTGATAATAAGCTCTGTTATCTGAACTTTATTCATAATGTCTCTATACATATGCATTGTTTAAATATAATGATTTTTGTATGCATTTTCATTTGAGCTTCATTAAATTTTGTGATTAGAATAAATAGGTGTTAGAATAGTGATTAGGTAGAAAGGCTTGAGAAAACTTTCTCGTTTAACAGAAGGTAAAATCTGGAATCAAAAGTTTTTTTCTAATGTTGCACATCTAATAAGTGCCATTATCTCAGGCTGCCATGTAATTATGTCATCTGAATGATTTAAATATCTGTGCTGCTATTGCACAAGCTATTAACTATTTTTTACTCTAAGGCAACACTACCAGTTTTATACCACAATTCCGAGTAGTCCTGTTGATTCTATTTCTGAAATCTCTTTCAAATCCAACAAGCCTGCATACAGTTCAGCTGACATATGTTTTGTGCTTACTCTGTGCAAGGGATGCAGAGGTGAGCAGGATACTGTGCCAGCTTTCAGGGAGCTCTGATTTTGGTAGGGAAATCACTTAAAAATATCAACAAAACTGCATGAGACTATGATAGAGATATATCCAAAAGGTGCCTTCTAAGAAAAGAGGAAACTCTCTGCTCTGTAATTGTGAAGAAGAAAGAGCATAGAATACAGGATTGAGTTGCATGGTTAGTAGACAAGGATATGCTTTAGTCTGTGCAGTTCAGTCATAAGGGCAAAGGAAAGAAGGATGTTAATGCCATACTCTGTGGCAGGGCAGAAGGAGCTGAAGTCTTTCAGTATCTAAGAACAGTCCAAAGATGACAACTGGAAAGGTATTTAAGAAAAATAGCCATTACCGGAAGGGATACGCCTTTTCTTGTTTGAACACTTCTCTGAACACAAACAACAAACAGTATCACATCCTCCCTTTCTCTGCCTCTTTCATTACATAGATCTGTGGTCCTTAAAGCATGGAGGTGACTGCATAAGAGAAGTCTGCTTCTTAGGAGTTTCAGGGAATTCTTTTCAGGAATGGGTAGGAAAGTCGAAAAAGAAAGTAAAAGATGCTGGATAGGGCTGGGGTTGTAGCTTAGTGGTAGAGTGCTTGTCTATCACATATGAGGCACTGGGTTCCATCCTTAGCACCACATAAAGATAAATAAAATAAAATAAAGGTATTGTGTCCATTTACAACTGAAAAAAAATATATAAAAGATGCTGGATACAGTTTGTATTTTAGTCTTAGAAGTGGGTAAGTAGGGTCTGGGGTTGTGGCTCACTGATAGAACACTTTCCTAGCATGTTGAGGCATTGGGTTCAATTCTCAGCACCACATATAAATAAATGACTAAAATAAAGGTCCATCAACAACTAAAAATATATGTTAAAGAATTTTAAAAAAGAAGTGGGCAAGTAGTGGGGCGCAGTGGAACATGCCTGTAATCCTAGTGGCTCAGGAGGTTGAGACAGGAGGATCTTGATTTCAGAGCCAGCCTCAGCAACTTAGTGAGGTCCTGAGCAACTCAGTGAGACCCTGTCTCTAAAAATAAAATATAAAAAGGGATGGGGATGTGGCTCAGTTAAATGGTTAAGC